CAAACCAAAAATGTCTGAAGACAAAATTTTCTAATAAAAAATGATTGGCATAATGTCAATGAATAATTAAATAAAAACTAAGAATATATCACTTCAAATATTCTAGTCTTCGCGAATTATAAATTAACGACACGATTATCGAATATTATCCTCTATTTATACCGCGGCTAAATGGAGAAAATGTCGAGAGCGAGATACAAGTGGACACATCGTTTCGAATGAAATATCGACGAATAAGACAGATCGTAAGCGATTTCCAATGTGTGTGTGTGTGTGTGTGTAGTGTGTGTGTGTGTGTGTGTGTGTGTGTGTGTGTGTGTGTGTGTGTGTGTGTAACGTGGCGAGGATTTCATTTCACTGCTATGCGACTTTATCTAACGACCTTCGATAAGATGTGCGTCACTGTGTCCACGGACATTTGACCTTAATAAAATGAAAGTGCAGAATATTATGTATATATGCATTAATTATATTTATGTTAAAATTTATCAATATTTATAATTGTTTTATGTTAAATAGAATTTTTGCATTTTTTTTTTATGGGAGTCGTGAATTTGTCGTGTCGCGAGCAGCGGCGATGGCGAATGATATAATTGGTTTATCATTTCGAACTAATCACAATTCAATTCGACGGTGAATGCACTGACACTGATACGATTACGGGGTTGAATCGCTTCTCTCGTCAGTTCCGCAGACAAGACTATTATATCGGCATTAATTGACTGAAAACGCGCAGCAGTCTCCTCAGCTTTCAGCCTTCATGTGAGTTCGATTGCGTCTTCATCAAATATAATGATACAATTTTTCTTTAAATGTTGTCATATTGATATTTTATTGCTCGACAGCTAATGGTTATGTAAGTGGATCGTATAATTGAGTAGTTATCGCTATATAAATATAAATTAAACTTTTCTCATTTATCTTACGCAATGTATCTCTTGAAAAAATAATTAAGACTTCATAAATCTTTCGTGAGATTACAATATTAAAAAGAAATTGTTTAGAATATAATTTTAGGATATTATTTAGGATATTTTAGTTTAGGATATTGTTTAGGATCGTAATTTATCTCTGCGGAAGCAGAAATTTTATTTCTGATACGCACGTACAAGTATTATAATCCGAGGAACGAACGAGGTATTTTCGTGGCTGAATCAACTGAAACTTTTGTAATAAAAGTTTTGGCTTAATCATGGCCATAGCCGGTAATCACGACTAAGTAACTTATTACCGGGGCCGCATTGAACAATCGTTCCTTTCAATTTATTGATACACGCGCCCACAAAGAACCATTATGTTATGAAGCATTATTTATCGTTTCTTTGCCAATTACATTTTAGGTAAACGAGCGATAACTCATGACGACGAAATAATGCATCGACACTAATATGCTTAATCAAAGTGTTAATAATTATTAAAATATTAAATATTGGCGCAAAATATTTGAATAATTTAATTAATAAAATTATATGAAATTTTAATAGGTAATAAAAATAATTCTTAAAAATCTCTTTGTGAAATTGAAATACGTGCACGTATATTTTCAACTATATTAATTATAATTAATAATATATAAGGCTCAACTGATTACTAAAATCAATTAAAATTAATAGGAGCGTAAAGAGCCTCAATGCTAGTTCTTCGTGCGAAGGTTAAGATATATTCGTTAAAATTGTTTACATCAAATCAAACGTTTCGACCTGCCATCAGGCCTTCTTCAGTGTACATTAATAAAAATACAAATAAAACGGAAAATTTGCTCGCAAAATTCAACGTGAAAGATGTGGAAGACGTTAAAATCATCCTTTCCACCCGATTATAGTTCGGTAAAAAATAAGTTAGTATTGAATTCAATTCATGTTGAAACGCTAGTCCACGTAGAGAGGACGAGGTGGAAAAACAGAGAACAGATAGTCTTTACATTTTACAAGTCAAGCTCTTAGTCAATATATTAATTATTGTGTTACTATTTTTAACATCATGTAAGAAATCTTATATCAATAATACAGTCGATTCCGGTTAATAGGGCCACCGGTTAATTAGAGCAGCCGTTTATTTGGGACAAGTTTTAAAGAACAAATCTCAATAGATAAAAGATCGGAGTTCGGATAATTTGAGGCAACTGCTTAATTGGGCCGTCCCGTTATATGCCAGTTAACTGGAATCGACTGTATATTTTTTAAATTTTTTATAGACATATTTTAATACAATAACTAACATTTGTTACTAATAAAATCTATTATTTTTAATATAATGTTACGATTATAAAAAATTAATAAATATTTAAAAATATTTGTTATCGATATATTATAAAAAAAATAATTTATTGATAAATTTATAGGATGCATTATGGTCTGTATATTTAGACAAAAACGTACTCGAAGACGAGGTGGCCGAGTGGTTAAGGCGTTGGACTGCTAATCCAATGTGCTCTGCACGCGTGGGTTCGAATCCCATCCTCGTCGGATGTATTTTTTTTACATATAGTATGGAATGTTACATATTTAATATTATTATAAATAAATAATTGTCTTATGTTTTATAATAATTTAATTTAGATACTTTTAGATGAATTAAAGTGTGAATTAATTATTAAAATTAAAGTCAAGATTTCTGGGATATATTGTATATTAATATTTTTTGTGCATTATTCATATTTATAATTGTAACGATATCCGTTTTGATGATTGATTCATTTTTATAATCTTTAATAGTAGTAACAATGAGGGGTGAATCTGTGACAAATTTTCAAGTTGTATAAATCAAAGTTGATCCACTTTGATGACACTTGATTTGTTAAAGTTAAGATTGTAATTCTATAAATAGAGAGAAAGAGTGAAAGAGTTTACTATCGGCCACTTAGTCTAGCAGGTTACTAAACTGTACATTTTCTAAGTCTTTTGATTTTAAGAATATGTTTTTAGAGAGTTTGTATTTTTTATTTTTTATTTATTTAAAAAATTTTGTCTAATTTTTATGATATATTATTTTCCAGCAAAATTATGTGAGAAAGTGCTCCCTCAAAAATTCCTCGATAGTATAGTGGTCAGTATCCCCGCCTGTCACGCGGGAGACCGGGGTTCGATTCCCCGTCGGGGAGAGTTTTTCTTTTGCTTTTCTTTTTCTTTTCTTTGATTTAAGATCTCTAATATTGTATTGTTGCAACGAATGATTGTTCAAACGAATAATGATCGCTGTCAAAATATTTCTAGAACAAGATTTATCTGCGAATTTGAAGCATATACCATTAAAATTAAAATTGCAGTTTGGAGGTAACTTGTGAAAATAAAAGCATAGTTGATATTAGTATAATTACAAACAAAAATTTCCTCTTAATGTATAATTTGACTTTAAAAAATTGTATCCGGATTCTCGTAAATAAACGGGATAACTGACGTTCTGTGCTGCTCTGAGTCAATCGATAATGCGAGACGCCCTCATGGTTTAAAGCGGTTTACAGCAATTTTGGAATGTGATGTTGAGTCTCTAGCATCGGTGTTTATCTTTTAGGAGCGCGGTAACTCTAGGCTAGAAAGCTTTCTGAGATACGACGAAAAGGATCTTAAAAGCAGCGCATGTCGGAAAGATAACAGAGGAATTATAGCAGTGCATCGATTATTCTTTGTTAGTACATACAATACTCTCGCGATACTAACATTTTGTGATTGTGCTCTAGGGATTTACTATTATTTACATTCTTAGCGGCTTAATATAAATTCACGTTTCCGATAGAAAGTGTCGGCGAAGTTTAAATGGGACTGGGTACTTAAAAGGGACTAGATAGAGAGCAATTTGCACAGTGGACGCGATTTACATATTTGCTCGTACCGTTGCGGTATGAGCGAATTACAAGGTGTTTTGAAACATATTATTTGTTTAAATATAATATAATCGAATAATCTCCATTTATTTGATGTTAAATGAAAGTTTAGCTACAGTTTTAAAACAATATAAAAAATTGAATATACTTGCTAAATTTTATTTAACAAATGTAATGTTCAGTAAATTTAAAGGAATTGAAGAATTTTATGATCTGAGAAAAATATAGGGAA